GGAGGGTAACAAGGGAAAGTGTTCAGTGCAGATCAGTGAGTAAGCACCAGCCCGCCCGTGCTTACCTTACTTCCGGAGACCCGGTCCCACTCGGGAGGGTAACAAGGGAAAGTGTTCAGTGCAGATCAGTGATTAAGCACCAGCCCGCCCGTGCTTACCTTTCTCCCGGAGACCCGGTCCCTCTCGGAAGGGTAACAAGGGAGCTGTCAGCACTAGTGACTGGGTTTTACTCCTTTCTCCTGCTCTTCCGGCCTGCTACTCTGTGCTACGCCCGTGCTTACCTTCCTCCCGGAGGCCCGGTCCCTCTTGGGAGGGTCACTAGTGCTCAGACGGCTCCCTTGTTACCCTCCCGAGAGGGACCAGGTCTCCGGGAGCAAGGTAAGCACGGGTGGGCTGGTGCTTACTCACTGATCTGCACTGAACCCTTTCCTTGTGATTTGATGAAGAATAGTAAAACAGACGAAATCCCTAGGTGGCACAAATGGTTAAGCAGAAGATGACTAAATGAAAGATGGGCAGTTAGGAACTTTCCAGAGGAACTAAGAAAGACCTGGCAACCTGCTTCCGAAAAGTCTCAGCCTTGAAACTCTATGTGTGCAGTTCTATTTTCCACACATAGGTCACCATGAGTTGGAATCAATTTGACAGCAAATAATAACAACAACAAATAGAAGACTGGGGGAAGGGAGAAACAGGAGGAAAGAGAAGGAAATCCCAGGCAGAAGGAGAAACACAAACAGGTAGTAAACACAAACAGGAAAAGCAGAGAGTTTATTATGACTAGAAGATTTAAGCTATTGAGAGAGGTGGAACATGGGATGTTCAAGATCAAGGTAGCAAAAGCAGGCACTGATAAAATTATGACTAGTCTTACAGCAACACAAAAACTCATGTTTTAAGCCAACAAATGCTGTATCAATTTAGGCTGAAACACTAAAATTTAAAGTGAAAAACAAAAAGGTTATTTTATTCCCTTGAACAATCTCTTTTACATACACACTATTTACTTGCTTGATAATGAGTTTTTACCCTGCTGTCCTGTACTTCAATTTTTCAGATATTTAAGCCTTGCAATCAGGAATTTTTTTAAAAATATCAACTTCTAAAATTTATTTCCCTACAGCTCTTAGGGTAGTGTCTAAAACATATTGAATCCTCAAATATTTAAATATTTATTTACTTATTTTTAAATATCTCTCACATGAAAAAATATATAACGAATTTGAACAAAACTAATTTCCTGCATTTTAGAGAAGCTGCCTAGCATTATGCCATGAAATAACAAGGGCTGAGTACCATGAGTTGGAATTGACTTCATGGCAACTATTTTTGTTTGGTTTGGTTTGGGGTATCTGACTGGTTCTCTGGTAAACAGAAACAGATTAAGTGAGGAGTGCAAAAGGTTTATTGGGGATAGCATCTAGGAGAAAAGGGAGGAAGAAGAATAGGGTAGAGAAGTTATCAGAAGATCTATCAAAGACTCTCTCCCAGGCAACTGGGGAGATCTAAAGCAAAGATTGCCCATTTCACTTTGGGAAGAAATGGCTAGGCGTGAAAACGCTATCTTGTTCAATCACTGGCCCCAAGACGAGATCGTGACCTTCAATTACCACTACCTTGCTCAGTAAGTGGCCTGGAGTCACATTAGGAATAGGATCTCAACTCAAAAACTGAAAGAGATATTAAAGGATCTAATAGTGGACGCTGTCAGCTATCCACCCTCTTGGGGGTATTTAAGAAGTTATGTCTCCATACAAGATGCTCTTTAATCCTTGTTCTATTATTTCAAAAGTACTCACCAGCCTTCTTAAGCTGGCTTACTGTCCACTTTTCATTGCAGTGAAAAGTAAACCAACTTTCCACTGCAAGGTATCTTAATTTTTACTTACTACTCCAGGACTAGGAGCTCTGGTAGCATAGTGCCTAAGGCACTTGACTGCTAACCAGAAGGCTAGCGGTTCAAACCTACCAGCCACTCCTCGGAAGGAAGGTTGGGCAATCTACTTCCATAGTGATATTGCCTTGGCAACCCAAGGAGGGGTCGCTATGAGTCGGTTCCAACTCGAAGGCATGTAACAGCAAACAACAACAACAGCAGGACTATGCTAATCTTAAGAAGCATATTCAAAATTTCACCAGTTATAAGATACAAAAAGTTGAAGATTATTTATTAGGAGCAACAGCAAAAGATGCAAACATCTATGCAAATTTAGAATAGCAGGAATAAAATTTTACATGCAAAACTTAAAAATGATGTGTCAGTGGCTCCAAAATGACAAACTCTGTCACTTTTTAAAGAACGGGTCTGCTTAAAATGAAGAAATTAAAAATGGTAATTGAAATTCTGAGGGGAAATAGTTAAAATAAATATCAAAGAAATTTAACAATTAGTATTATAATTGCAATACTACCTTTCATAAGGAGATCTGGTGGCATAGTGAGTAAGGTATTTGGCTGCTAACCACAAGGTAAGTGATTCAAATCCACTAGCTGCTCCATTGAAGAAGATGAGGAAATCTACTTCCATAAAGATTTACAGGCTTAGAAAACCAATGGGGTTAGCTATGAGTTGGAATTGACTTGATGGCAGTGAGTTTGGTTTGATTTGGTTACTATCTTTCATAAAGTATGTAAAGTAGCTTAGAACACAGAAAGGATTTTATTTAAATTTAGAGAATCTAGAATCACTGACTTTTAAGACAGAACTTGAAAAATCGTATCTGAATTCTTTTATTTTACATCTAAGCATATTTACATTCTCAATCACTTTAAATTCTTAAAAATATTTTTATTATAATCACAACTACCAAAAAAAATTATTTAAGTATACCTACCTAATACAGTTACTGTTGTAGAGGACTGAGCATTTCCAAGTGGAAAAGTAACAGCTTTGCATATGTATTTTCCAGAATCAGAGAATCCGATGTTATGTAGCGTAATTGTTGCATCATTAAGTGAATAGTTTTTAAACAAGACTCTTCCCTGATACTCTCCTTGAACAGAGAATCCATATTGAGGATGATGAACTGCAACAGTTTGTGAACTTTTGCCATGTATCTTCTCCCATGAAATTTGTGTTATGGTTTCATTTACTTCAATTAAACACTTCAATGAAACATTTTTGCCCCATACTGCTGTGACATGTGGCTCCACAATAATTGGTCCAGCTAAGGCACCTATTGAAAAAAGAAAAAAAAAAAAGTATAATTCTTAAAATGGAATAAGTTATGCTAATTTCCTTAATAGTTAAATATATATATTTCCACATACACATACATACACATTTATACATAATCAAACATATGTGATTAAAGATCTAAAAGGAAAGAAAAGAGTTATTTCCTGAACTTGATGTCAGGAAGAGTGACTCAAATCAAATACCTGCCATAATGGATTATAGCGAAAAACCTACAGGTAGTACCTGGGTTACAAACTTCTGACTTCCATACAACCATAGTTAACAATCAACTTAGTATAGTAAATATTTGAGGTACAATCAATGGTTCATAACAACATATATGCAACTTTGAGAAGTACATTAAAACATTCTTATTCTTGCATTATTACACTATTGTTAAAGTTTTATTGTATCTGGAATGTTAGAGTTTTATGCACAGAAAGGTACACTATATACTAAGACAAACATTTGATTAACTGACATTAGATAAGAACCATACCTAACTGTATGAATTTATGTAAAAATTCCACTTAAAGACAGAACTTGTTTGTAATCCAGTGGCTGCCTATATATCATTTTGAGATAAAAAAGACTAATACTCAGGCATTAGATTGTGTGGATCATAACAAATTACGCATAAAAGTGCAAAGAATGGGAATTCATAACACTTTATTGTGGTCACATGGAACCTGTACATAGATCAAAAGGCAGTCATTCAAACAGAACAGGGGGATACTACACTGCTTAAAATGAAGAAAGGCATACGTAGGGGTTGTATCTTTTTACTATACTTATTCAATCTGTATGCTGAGCAAATAATCAAAGAAACTGAACTATACAAAGAAGAATGTGGCAAGAGGACTGGAAATAGACTCATTTTAACAACCTGTGATACACAGATGAAACGACCTTCCTTGCTGAAAGACAAGGGGATTTGAAGTACCTAGTGACGAAGACCAAAGAATACAGCCTTCATTATGGATTACACCTCAACATAAAGAAAACCAAAATCCTCACAACTGGACCAATAAGCAACATCACATTAAATGGAGAAGAGATTGAATTAGTCAAGGACTTCCTTTACTTGGATTTATAATAATGCCTATGGAAGTACCAATCAAGAAATCAAACAACATATTGCACTGGGCAAACCTGCTCCAAAAAATGACTTTACAGTGTTAAAAAGCAGCAAAAAGATGTCACTCTCAGGCTAAGGTACACCTGACGCAAGCCATGGCATTTTCAATGACCTCACAGGCATGCGAAAGCTGGACAATGAATAAGGAAGTCCAAGAACAATTGATGACTTTGAATTATGGTGTTGGTGAAGAATACTGAATATACCATGGACTGCTAGAAGAACGGACAAATCTATCCTGAAAGAAGTAAAGCCTGAATGCTCCTTAGAAGTACTTTGGTCATGTTGCCAGAAGGGACCAGTTCCTAGAAAAGGATATCATGCTTTGTAATTAGAGGGTCACTGAACCAGAAGACCCTCAATGAAATGGGTTGACACAGAGGCTGCAAAAATGGGCTCAGGCACAGCAACGATCATCAAGATGGTGTAGGACCACACAGTGTTTCATTCCATTGTACAAAGAATCACTATAAGTAGGGACTGACTCAGTGGCAACTAACATCACCACTCATGAATACTATAATCAAGCAATGTGTTATTCACTAACAATACTTCAACATACATAACAATCCTTGAATAACTTACCACTCACACGATTCCTCACAAAGTAACTAGAAAAATACTTAAAACTAAGAAGTAACACCAATCACTCAAAAATAAAACACAGATGTATAAAAAATAATAACCTTAAAATCTAGAGTTACCAAGTAAGTATTTTTAATAAATAAAACTGCAGAAGGGACTCACAAAATAATCAAGAAAAAAAATGTGTTTAATATGTTCAAACTGTTCTAAATAACAACCCCCAAAAAATTTACTCTTTCTTTCTATAAGCCTTTTCTGGGGGAAGAAACAACAAAACAAAACAGAAAATAATTATAATAAAAACCTAGATGAAAAACTTTACCATCCAACAGATGACTTAGGAAATTATAGCTACAGGGCTATCAATGCACAGAGGCTATATACTTAACAGCCATGGAAGAAAGTTTTGTTTTTAATAATCACTGGTCCAAAAAGGCATCAGGTCCAAAAAGTTTGCCATCATGTTCTGTCAACCTTTCAACTGTAGATAACTGCTAAGCTTTTAAAGTTAATCCAAGGCACGTAAAATGCTATAAAAGCATTCTAATAAATTTTGGCAAGCTACCGTTACCGTTAACCCAAGTTCCTTGGTGATGTTAATACTTAATATGCCAGGCTGCTAAGGAAAGGTTGGAGGTTTGAGTCCACCCAGATGATGTCCACAAGGAAAGCCAGGCTATAAACTTCTGAAAAATCAGCCACGGAAAATCCAATGAAGTACAGCTCTTCTCTAATACATATGGGGTTGCCATGAGTTAGAAGTTAGGGTGGAGGGTCGACGAAAGAGGGGGAGGCCTTCAACGAGATGGATTGATACAGTGGCTGTGATGATGGGATCAAGTATAGCAGGGATTGTGGGGCTGGCGCGGGATCGGGCAGTGTTTCGTTCTGCTGTGCATGGGATCGCTATGAGTCGGAAATGACTCGACGGCACTTAACAACAACAACAACAACGAGTTAGAAATGACTCAACTCAAAAGCAACTAGTTATGATAAGCCTGGTACTAAATGAGAAGATAAACAAAACAATAATATTATGAATATGAATTTAAAATGACACAAAATATTATAAAAGAAAATTCAGCTCTATGTTTAAAGAAAAATATGCCATGACCAAGTAGGATGATTCCAAGAATATAAGGATGAGTCAATATTACATTTTTAGACGATTCATCACAGTGAAAGCTCATATAACTTTCTCACCTGATGTTAAAAATGCAGTTAAAAAAATTTAACATTCATTTCCTTGATTTAAAAAAATATATGCAGCAACTAAGAACTGAATTATTTTCAATAATAAAGTATACTCAGCTCAACCACCACTCCTCTGTCAGTGTGTTGTACTGTGCTGGCTTGCGTATTGCTGTGCGGCTGAAGGCTATGTCACTGGTATTTCAAATACCAGCAGGGTCACCCATAGTTGACAGGTTTCAGCAGAGCTTCCAGATTAAGACACACTCAGATGAAGGAAAGGGCTATCCATTCTCAAACAAATTGAAAGACGGTTTGATATATTACTGGAAAACTTCATGAATATCCAGAAACATTGTCTGATATAGTGCCAAAGATGAATCCTCAAGTAGTAAGGTACTCAATTCGACTGGGGAAGAACTGCCTCCTCAGAATAAAGCCAACCTTAATGATGTGAATGGAGTAAAGCTTTCGAGACCTCCCTTTCCTGATGGAGCATGACTCAAAATGAGAAGAAACGTGCAAATATCCATTAACAATTGGAACACAGAATGTACGAAGTATGAATCCAGGAAAATTGGGAGTTGTCAAAAATGAAATGGAATGCATAAAGATCAATATCCTAGGCATGAATGAACTGAAATGGACTGCTTTTGGCCATTCTGAATCAGATAACAATATGATCTACTATGCTGGGAATGACAAATTAAAGAGGAATGGAGCGGCATTCATTGTCACAAAGAATGTTTCAAGACCTATTCTAAAGTACAATGCTGTCAGTGATGGGATAATATCCATAAGCCTACCAACAGTTAATACTGTTGTTGTTGCTGTTAGATGCCACCCAGTCAGCTCTGACTCACAGCGACCCTAAGTACAACAGAACAAAACACTGCCCAGTCCTGTATAGGCCTCATAATCCTTGCTATAACTGAGCCCATCATTGCAGCCACTATATCAGTCTATCACACCGAGAGCCTTCCCCTTTTTCGTTGAACCTCCACTTTAACAAGCATGATATTCTTCTCCAGGGATTGGTCCCTTCTGACAACATGACAAAAGTAGGTCAGACGAAGTGTGTCCATTCTCTTATCTAAGAAGCATTCCAACTGCACTTCTTCCATGACAGATGTTTGTGCTTTTGGCAGTTCATGGTACTTTAAGTATTCTTTGCCAACACGACAACTCAAAAGCATCAACTCTTCTTCATCTTCCTTATTCATTGTGCATTACCTCACATGTACAGGAGGTAACTAACTGTGGAATCAAGTAATACAAAATCTTTGACAACTTCCATCTTTTCTTCATATATTGTGATGCTGATTACTGGCCCAGTTCTGATGATTTTCATTTTCTTTATGTTGAGGTGTAATCCATACTGCAAATTATAGTCTTTCCTCTTCATCAGTAAGTACTTGAAGTAATCTTCACTTTAAGCAAGCAAAGTTGGGTCATATGCATATTTGCAGGTTCTTAATGTAAGGGGCTAAAGCATTTGACTGCTAACCAGAAGGCTGGCGGTTCAAACCCACCAGCCACTCCTTGGAAGGAAGGTTGGGCAATCCTATTTCCATAGTGATACTGCCTCGGAAACCCAAGAAGGGGTCGTTATGAGTCAGGGCCGACTTGACGGCACATAACAACAATGTAAGGGGAGGGAAAGGGGAAGGACCCAGGCCCCAAACCCCAAGCACCAGGAAAAGGAGAGGGGAAAGGAAAGGAAAGCCAGGGCATTCAGGACAGAGCAAGCAAACGGCAAAGGGATCCAGGTAAGGGCAGGGACCCAGGCCCCAACCCCCAAGTGGAAGGAAAGTGGAGGAGAAAGGAAAGGAAAGCCAAGGGACTCAGGACAGAGCAAGCCCAGCAAGGATCCTGGTAAGGGGAGGGTGGAGAGGTTTCAAGCAGCTAAGGGAGACAAACTTGTCTGTTGGCTTGTCATGCTCTGGTGGCATGTTGCTGTGAGGCTTGAAGCTGTCCCACGTGTGTTTCATATGCCAGCGGGGTTGCACATGGTGCACAGTTACCAGCATGGCTTGCAGACTGAGACAGACTACGAAGGAGAAGGCCATCCACTTCTGAAAGAA